TTGAGATAAAAAATCTCGTTTAGAAGCGCCCTTAGGACCATCTTGATTTGAGAAACGCGTTCGGACACGATGTTTTTGGAAAAATTAAGGAAAACTACGTCTGAATGTTTGTTTCTATCGAAAATTTGTCCAGGGAGTAAGAAATTGAAACTGATACTAGTATACTAGGGCAAAAAAGAAAGTTCGGAATAACAACGAAAAAAATACAAAATTCATGCCGTTACACCCGTATGTCCCTTCCAAGGGACATCATGTATCCACGCAGCAAAGCAACATCACTTAAGTCCAGATATAACAAGGATGTACCAAAGAACTGTAAGCTTGAATGCAGTAGTTATTTCAGCTGCAGTTATAATAAAAGTGTCTTCGGGTGTAAAGGGTTAAATATGGACATGGCTAGTGGCTTAAATACGTATGGAGAGTATATGGAAGGGATACATGGAGATTGTCCTAAAAGTGGACGTAGAGAGTGTTTTAAATTCAGTGTTTCATCAACATTTATTAAAACTATTAATTTATTGCACGATTATATCTGATGGTGTCCTGTCATTATAACGTATTGCTACTGTACTGTTTTTCACTTAAATTTTAGTAGAAACTGACTCTGCTCCAAATCGCAGAATATATGGATAGTTTTTTCTGCTATAGTTTTTGATCTAAAAACCTATTTTTTACTAGCTAGAGGAGTTTCACGTTTTAGCCAGAAAGGGGCTACACTAACCAGCTTTTACTATAAAGTTTTCAAGACATAAAGAATTTAAGGATATACATACACAATTTTCAATGGGTCAAAAAAGGTTTTCTGAAAGTTTGTAGTTTTCAGAAAACTAGTGATTCTGTAAGTACAGAAAAACTGTCTTAGATTACATCAACAGAGAGAGAGCACACTTTTTAACTTATTTTTATCTACATTTAGAGTAATTCCGTTTTTTTTTATATGAACATCAACCGAGAAGGCCTTATTTACTTACATTTAGAACCTATGATTTTTTTAAAATCTAGGATAGAAAGAAGTGGTAGTTTGCAAACTTACTTTTCCTAGTACTGCTATGTATCCACTCGCAATCTATGATGTTCAATCACCTAAGCATTTACTTTTCTCTGACTCACATTTTTAAAAACAAAAGGTGCTACTTTTATTAGAATCCGTCATACTCCTTATTAACATGAATTGATAGCGCATATTCACTAACACATTATAAGAATTTGATGGAATGAGATATTCTAACGACGATACTAATTTGAGTATTGTCTCATTGTCATCTAGTCAGTGGGCTAGTATTTTGGGGAAACTATTGATCTTTAACAAAGACTAAACGCATAACTAATGGCTCTCTCTTTTCTGTGTCTTCCCTATTTCAAGAGTTGAAAATCTCAAATTAGTCTCAAAATGTAGCTAAGACTTATTTTTAGGCATAATAGTGCCCGATTTCGACTTACAGTGTCTTTTTTTAAATTATCCGCATATTAACGTGAAGAAAAAAATAAAGTTCATATAAATGGATGGGTAAGAAAAGTGCTTTTTCCTATCCAGAAGATTTTCTATTTTTAGTAAGACATATTGTCAAAAAATATATTCTGCAATTATCTACTCGTTTGACGTGTGAATTATTTCATTCTATGATACTATTTTATATGTACAGTTGTAAAAACAAATAGTTATACAATAAATCCTATTAACTAAATTCAGTCTACTATTTGATTCTTGGTTTAAACGAATTCAGTAATTTGAAGCTACACAAGGCTTACTGTTCTTTGATGATTTCGTGTTAATAGACATTCTAAGATTTGTTGGCACTATTCTTTAAAAAATTAGAACAGAAGATTTGATACTGTTTGTCACTTCTTTCAAGGACACATGAGTTGAGCTAACAATTGTTGTTTAACGTCTTCAGCCAGACCGGTAATTCCACTTCCTAATTCGACGCACGCCCCAACAACTAACCAATCATAAAAGGCATTCGCATGGGCAACGGCTTGATCTGGTTCATGTGTGATTACTTCGCCCGTAGAGGCTGCAAATAATAGTTGAGGATAATCATCTTGGAAAACGGTTTGGACACCCCACTGATCATCTAAAAGAGCTTTAGCACTGGTAAACCGTTGTATATAGCCACTAAAACCAACAGGATTAATTAGTAGTGGATGAGTAACACTTTCTGATAGTTGAATAAGAACTGAGAGTTCTTTAGAAGTTGGCTGCGGGCTATGAATGTAAACAATTAGAGTTAACTTCGATCCGTCATATGTAAACGAATTGTGACTAAGATCTGGCGCTAAGAGATCATTATATGGTACATATTGTAATTGCTCTCCATTCACTGTTACACTAGTGGCTGGAAATACATGACGAAAATGTAAGTCGTATGAACGTTGTTCGGGAAATTCTCGAAATTGACCAACGCCTGGTTTAACAGTAAATGCTAAATTATTATTGTTGGTTCCTGTCACTTGATAGTTGACATAAGTGTAAACATGTTCTTCTTTAATATAACCATCTGTCGAACCATCATCTTCATAAACTGAACCTGAACCATTCAAATTTCCTCCGAGAAATGAGATAAATCTTAACGTAGATGGTATCAGTTTTGCTTGACCAAGAGATGGACTACGATCGGGCAGCATAGCAATGATAGAACCGGCTTTAGCATAAACTGGCATTTCACTGAGCGTGAATGCTTTTTGATAAACTTGTGGTCCTTCAACGAAATCTCCTGTAAACATATTTATCCATCGCCCTGGTGGAAACCAAATTGTCCAATTAGCCATGCCAGTTGCGGGATTCACCGGATGAGTGATTGGTGAAACAAGTAAGTGTTCCCCGTAAAAATACTGATGCAAATATGTGTATGCTTCGTCATGATCTGGATGTTCATAATACATGGGTAAAACAATACCAAGTGATGTGTCATACGTTCGTCTAGCAGCCGTATAGATGTAAGGCACGAGTAGTTGACGGAGTTTTGTAAATCGTTTCATTGTCTGATAGTAGGCCCAAGGATAGGTCCATATTCGACGATCATTATCAACATTTTTTGTGCAATGTGTACGAAATATGGGAGAAAATGCTCCCCACTGTATCCATCTAAGATACAATTCAGGTGCGGGTGATTCTGTGTGCCCTCCTAAATCATGACTCCAAAATGTATAGGCCACGTTCGATGCTGTTGCTGTGAAATATGGCTGAAATGTAAGTGTGTCCCAACTTGGAATAACATCACCGCTAAAGCCGACTTGATAACGATGATTTCCCAATCCTCCCCAACGATGTAACAAACTTGGACGCAAATTATTTTGTTGCCAATGATAGGGATTTGTGAAAAAAACATAGTTGAGCCAGAAAGTAGGATTTACGTAAGGCAAATCGATCCAGTCTTCACCTTGTTGCCAATCTAGCCACCATAAATCAATACCAGCTTGTTCGAATGGACCCAAAACCAATTTCATCCAGTTTTCACTAAACTTTTTATCTGTTTCATTGAACGGTACATATTTTTGAGTTGTTGGATCAATACTCATTGCTTGAGCCATTTCTACATAGCGTTCTTCCCATGGTTGAATACCCGATGCTGGATGAAGATTGAGGGTGTTGGTGAGACCCAACTGTTTACACCACTGGAGAAATTTTGAAGCATTTGGAAACAGATGAGGATCAAAAGTGAACCCTGTCCAACCGATAGATTGACCAGCTTGATCTTTCTTGCCCGCGTTTGCTTGTTTGTAGAATGTTAGATGCCAATCCATATCCGTGACAAGAATATCCAACGGTACATCATGCTCGACATATTCTCGAATAATTTGCTTTTCTTGATAGTCGGCATAAGCCCAATATCGGCTGAAGAAAATACCAAAAATGTATCGAGGAGGCAGAGGAACTGGTCCCGATATCAGGGTAAATTCACGGAGAGCCGATTTATAATCGTGACCATGTCCGAAAAAATACAAGTCCTGTTGAGCAACATTTGAGTAATAACAAAGGGGAACACCGTTTGCATTGGTAGGACTGTAACAACAACCACGTTGACCGCAATCATGTTCACTTATACCTGCAGAGAAAAACAGCTCAGTAAATTAATAATCGGTTCTCAATACATCGTTTTACTCTACGTCCTGTTGATATTTCACCCATGAAATGCTGCTTACCAATATATCCGCAATCTCGTTTATATTGATTGTCTATCATACATATAGAGCCTTGACTTTGTTCGTATGTCGTTGGTACTAGCCATGCCCATTGTGTATTATTGTCATAAAATGGACGATGGGTGTCGTCAATCAATGCATAGCCTTGTCGCGATATAACTCCGTATGTGCAATGCAAATCTGATCTGGTCTGTAACATACAATTCATCTCTAAATTCTGATCTTTGTTTCCATCTAATGTTCTAACCGTACCCAACAGATTACCTGTATTCTCTTCATAGGGTATAGCTGACCATTGGACTTGTTGAGAATCACCAAAACGGACTATCATATTGATATTAGACGAGTTAAATGTGTATGTGCTGTTAGTTAAATAGGTCAATGTCAAATATGATGTTTGAATTGTTGTATGTGTATCATTTTGTGTTACTTTATAGTCGGGTACAGGAGTATTTCGAACTTGAATAACCCACGTTGGCGAGTCCTGAAATGTTTTAGTCGATGACCATTCCATACGTACGATACGATCGGTTAAAACCGTAAATCGAGCATTACCAACTAAAACAACAGACGATGGATTCGCAATGGGATCCATCTGACCGGGTGACGGATGCTGGCCGCTTATCAATATAAATGTGGTTAACGTCCATACAACTCCTAAGGCTATCATCTAAAAAATGAAATAGCTCTCAAAAACGTAAGAAATTTATTGTCTTGAACTAAGAAGATATTCCACTATAATGACTTCATAGTCTTACACGTCTCACTTCAGACTATTCCCTAGGCTCACCTTCAACATTCACTATAATCACCGTCAATTTATCAAAGTTTAATATTTTACTAGATTTTGATAAAGTAATCCCAATTCACCCTTAATGAAAAACAAGTGCTCCGCATAAGAGAAACAGTGATATTTATGAAAGCTACATGCAAATAACAAATACACTTGGTCTACTGATAAGACAGATACCTGTAAAAACAACTATTATCATGAGCAGCTTGTATGTACTAAGAAAGAAAAAAGTATGTTCTTGTTTACTTTTGTTGATAAAGATGTTGCCTATATACTTGTTAATCTCAGACCTTGATCATGTTAGACATGCTTTTAACTATTTGTAGACAAATGACTTGTTACCATTGTAATAATTTATTATGATATCGAGGCGTTTTATGAGAAAAAGCACATTTTGATTTTTAATTAAAACACGTTATTGACTAAGCCTCTGAACTCTTCATGAAGATCGATATGAATTGATGTTTCATGCAGTCAGCAGAATGAACTGACTTATGCGGTTCGAGGGGAAACCATTCTGTTGTTATACTAATTTTATGCATACACTTTCTATGGATAAAATTGACAAAAAATTATATGTTATATCTCGTCTATACCATAACCTAATATTCGAGTCCTGTAGGTTTAGCTTTTTTTGAACTCGACTTCAATCACGTCCTGTACGGTTGAGCCTGTCTCGAATCCGAACCCGACAAAAGAACATTTCAGGATCCCGATCTCGTTCGAATCTGAAAAAACGTTTTTTCAGTTAAATAATACACTCTTTCATTTAAAACTTCGAACATTTGTATTAGTAGCGGCAAAATAATAAAATGAATGGAATATGCTGATGCTGATAAGCGAAAACAGTCAGATAAAGATAATGAGCATAAACAATTAACAGCTAAGAACCAGAAACTCAATCAAAGTGATGATAGTTTTAGTGACAGCGAATATCAGCAGCTTAAAGAAAAGACTTTTTCCTATTTTTAATTTTGTTATAAATTTTCAATAGACTGAGGAACAGATTTTATTTCTTTGTTTTTATATTGAATAAAATAGTAGAATTATTCATGAAAAGAAGATTGCAACCTTACAAGAATTCCATTTTTGAGAATTCATGTATGCTTATTTTATTTGATACAATTTCTCGAATTCACGCTAAAACGTTACTAATAATTCAAAAAAATCTAAATTCTTTTCAAAGTCTCTTGGCTTTCACTCCAAGGGTCACAAACATTATTTGTTGAATGAAATATAAATATTTCTAAACTATCATATTCATTCATCTATATTTTATTTTTCATTTTTTCATTCGTATTGTGATATTTTTCTTTTATGAAGAGAGTGTGTAAGTGTGTGTGTAGCAGTGCGGTAAGACTATTTACAAAACCTTGCTTTTTCATCAAAGTCAACTCTACTGACTATTGTATAGACTGAGATTGTCAAGATTTTTGAATGCTTTTGCAGAAGAAACATATCACATTGAAGACAAAAATTTTTGCGTTTCATGCTAGTTTTTTTCTCTTTCTCTCTGTATGTATGTATATTCATCAAACTGGAATATAGTAATAAGCAGTATTTTGTTGTGTTCTGTTCAGTGCTGATACAGCATATAATGTCGCATTAGATGATACATAATACACGTAATGATACATAGGACCGAATAATATTATTTATTTAGACGACATATACATCTTGCAGTTTCAATCAATAATATACTCACAAAAAGAGACAATTAAGTAATTGTAAAATTTAATTTAACTTAACTTAACATCATTACACTGAGCTGTTTAACACAATTAGACAATTAAGTGAGTGTAAAAGATACAAGTGATATTATTATTCACATATTAACCCAATATGATATTTACTATAGCATGTCGAATTCATGCGGCTCTATGGATTTTGATACACATGGCTGTATAATGACCACGGTTTATTCTGGTCTAGACTCAAGTTTATTTATTAATAAACTATAACGCCAATAGTTTCATATGATCAATAATAATAATAACGATTTTTTTCCAATAAAAATGAATGATTTTGTCACAAGTGTATCGAAAGATTTAGATACAATAGATGAAACAACATTGAGTTTGGTAAGTGGTAGCCAAATTCATTCATTATCGGACAAAAAAAGTTTGGATAGTCGAGCAAAACTAATGAAATGGTGTGCTTTCGTATTATGTGTACTGACCATATGGATCACTTATCATTACATATCCATCGTCGTCTTAGCTGTATGGTTAACCACCATTTGTCGACCACTAATGGAATATCTTGTCAGATTTTTGCCACTGAAAAAGCGAGCGTCAATAGAGACTCGTTCTCATGCAATTGCAGCCACATTAATTATTATCATTGTGTTATGTGTTATAATACCAATTATTCTAATTGTTGTCGCATTGTCGAATAGCGCATTGAATCTCGTTGTTCATCTTGCTCAGTCGTCAACTGTTCGTAATGCAATTAATTTTATCGTTTCACCATCGACATCAAATTTAACATCGACGTTTGATTTATTCGATTTCTCCTCAACAAACGCTACAACTTTCATTGAGCGTCTGCTATCACAACAAGAACTTACAGATGCGGTGAAAAGCTTCGGAGGAAAAGCATTGAGTATTCTATCATTAGTTGCAAATGCAACAGCGCAATTCATTATAGGCATTCTCATATTTCTGATTGCCACCTACACATTTCTTATTGACGGACCAGAATTGTGGCAATGGATGATAAGACATAGTCCACTGTCAGTTAAACATATGAATCGTTTAGAGAAAGCTTTTCATGAGACTGGACGTGGTTTGTTAGTAGGTGTAGGTTTGACTTGTTTAGTGCAAAGTATCGTTGCTGCTATTGCCTATTTATGTCTCCGTATTCCACGAGCATTAGTATTAGGACTCTTAACCGGTATTTGTTCTCTCATTCCAATAATTGGTACAGCGTTTGTGTGGTTACCCATCGCGATCGGTCTTTTCTTACAAAGTCAATATATCAAAGCGAGTATTATGATTACAGTTGGTGTGTTGGCTATCGGATCAATTGATAATCTCTTACGACCACTGTTTTCCAAATTAGGTGCTTTAGAAATGTCAACGTTATTACTATTATTATCAATATTTGGTGGAATTGAAATATTAGGTCCCTGGGGAGCACTTCTTGGACCAGTAATTGTGAGATTAGCGATAGAAGCACTCGTTCTAGTACGCGAAGATCAAGATGATCAAGAGCAGCAAGAAAATAGTAATAATAAATGAAATTATTATTATGGTCCATGAGCCGGTAAGAGAATAGTATGATTGTGTATATTATTGAAAAGTTGTAGATAAATTATGTACTAAAGGAGTAAGATAAAGTAATGTCTTTATATGTTTTTCTGTACAAACAAAAATAGTTGCATCAAATAGAGTAAGGTAATATACGAAACGAGCTAGAACCCCCGTTTAATAAACTATTTTTAATGCGCAGTATAATTATTGACCTCAAAATTCAATTTTTTTCAAGCGAATATAAATATTTTCATAGTATTTTTCTTACTTTCAGCGTGGTTATCGAAACGTTCGTGTCTCATCGCCAGTTAGTATCATTTATAAAGATCTTTCTCTTCCACTTCTACCATCATTATAACCGCCACTGTATGCATTATTTCTAGCACTGTATGTCATCGACGATGATGGTGATCAAGGTTGCAGTATTTATCTCTGTCATCGATAGAATGACCATATCATTGAACATTAGAATAGTGAATTGATGGTTCTTCACAGTTTTAAATAGACATCTTCCAAAATGCAATAGTTCTTGAGAATTTTTTTTTTTTGTTCTCGGTACACACTACTCATTACTTACAGATTCTTATATGTGAAAAGAAAAAGAAAAAATAGTATGGACGTAGTATGATGCTATAAAGAAATTTTTGGACATTAAAATAATTAAATAGTTAGGAAAAGAAACAAATATATAATTCAGTTGTCAACACTTCAATGTTTCGAAAACTATATATAACAAAAAGCTCATCCAAAATAAAAACTACTAGCTTCACTAACTTTACTCTATTATTTACGATAATTGACGATAATTTATTACCGTGCTCAGATAATCAGTATATAAAACATCAGAGACAAAATGGAAGCTAGTCATACGAAAACAATACGCGAATCTTTTGGAAGTGGTAAAGATTTGTCCAAATAGGGACAAACGTAATGCGAATATTTCAAATATAATCATCAATTTCCAGGTAGGCAAGACATTTTCTTTTTTAATGGATACTACATTTCATTCTTAACTCTATGGATGAACCAGAGGATGACGGAAATTGCCATGTTAAAATGGAATTAACAGACAATTAAATGATAATAGACAAAAGTCTTTTTCATTGTGTACAATGAGCAAATATATGTCTCACTTTCCATATCTGAGTAAAAAAAATTATCTAACAGATAGGTAAGAAACTGATAAGACTCAAAAAAGAAACTTTGTGATCAATTTTTATGAATATATTATCAAATCCAGGGAAACTCCTATTAGATTCTTATAAAAGCTTCCACAATCGTTGTACTTCGCATGAAAGATCTTATATACACGAATTTTATCAGGCCCTTAAGAGATTCTTATTTGAACTAACTGGAATATTTCACTCAAGGCGAATCTTGCACGGTCTCTGCCTGTCTTATACCATAAATCGTGATTCTATGAAGTTCACTAAATTCATGCAATAAGCAGAGCCATACCCTAGTGAATGTAATTGCGAGTGGGTACTTGTTTACTTGCAAATTTTCACGGGTACTTGGCAAGCACTTGGCAAATATTTTCAAAAATACTACTTGACAAATGTCTGAAAGCACTTGCCGGTGCTTGATTTACTTGTTGAACCTCTCACAGATACTTGGAGGTTACTCAGGCAAGTGCTTGACTAAGCACTTGACAAGAAGATAAAGTAATTCAAGTACTTGATTTTCTTGGCAAGTACTTGGTTTACTTGCGAAAAAGCGCAAGAACATTGTACAAAACTTGCGAAGGTACTTAACCACGTACCAGCATGCAAGTACATTCACTACACTCTAAAAAAAAAAGCGTCGTTTACTAAACCTTAAAGGGTTTAGTAAGCGAACTAAACCCCTTAAAAAACCCTTAAAGGTTTTTTCGAAAGGTTTATCATCGATCTTAAACCTTCAAAGGTTTTTTAACAAG